GTTTGAACCCATTTTTGCAGCTACTGCCCAATCACTCTTGTTGAAACCCTTCCCCTTTTCATGGCCCCTCTGTGTTACCAATCATGATGGCTTTCTCTAGTGACTGGTCTCTCCTGACAACAGGTCTAAAGTATGTAAGACCAAGTCTTGCTATCCTTGTTTCTAAGGAGCACTCGGGCCAAGAGGCATTTGTTTGCCCTTTTAGCAGCCCATGGTACTTTAAATATTCTTCTCCAGCACCAAAATTCAAATGCATTTGTTCTTCAGTCTTTCTCATTCAATGTTCAACTTGCACATGCATCTGAGGCAAGTGAAAAATACCCTGGCTTAGGTCAGGTGCAAAGTAGTCCTCAAAGTAACTTTTAGGATGTTACCCATTGGTCCTGTTGTGAGCATTTTGGTCTCCTTTCCATTGAAATGTAATCCACAATGAAGACTGCCCTCCTTGATCTGCACTAGCAAGCGCTTCAAGTTTGCCTCACTTTTTCAGCAAGCTAGTTTGTGTCATCTGTATATGGCAGGTCGCTAATAGATCTTCCTCCAATCCTGATGCCACCTTCTTCTTGATACGCTCCAACTTCTCTGGTGGTTTTCTCAGTCTGCAGATGAATAAGTATGGTGAGAGAATACAACCCCAATGCACACCTTATCAGATTTTAAGCCATGCAGTATTGTTTTGTTCAGACAACTGCTTGATGATCAATATACAAGTTAAGTATGAGCAGCGAAGTGTTCTGGAATTCCAATTCTTCTCAAGCTTATCCATAGTTTGTTATGATCCATACACTTGAATGCTTTTTCATATTCAAGAAAACCCAAGTACACATCTGTATTAGTCTGGGTTGACTAGAGAAGCAAATCCAGAGACACTGATATTTGTGTAAGAGAGAACTTTATATCCAAGAGCAATTGTACATTATGAAAACATCCCAGCCCAGTCCAGCTCAAGTCCATAAGTCTGATATTAACCCACATGTCCATTACCAGTCTATAAATTCTTCTTCAGACGCAGCACATGCAGTGATACTGAATGCAGGAGGAAAGATCACAGGCCATGGGTGGGAAGTCTTGTGGATACAGTGCTGGTAGGAGCATCTCAGCACTGGCGTGGGTCTCCACATGACTCCTCGAGCTCCAGGGTTCTTGCTCTACCAGCGTAGCTCCATGTGGCTTGTTAACAGGAATGTCTCCAAGGGAGAGTGTCTGTGTCCCGCCTCCAGCGAGCTATTTATCGCCATAGCGCCTTCAAATGAGGCCATCAAGCTGCGACCTAATCGACAGGCTAAACTCCACCCCTTCACTCTTAATAGTTTCAATTTGACACCAAATTATGTAACTACCACAGACCACGCCTTGTGAACTTGACACTTTCACATAACTCCTTAGCCATATAATTTGCATACTAACAATAACAAAACCATATCTGTACCTAACAGGATAAAAATAAAATGCATACAATTCAAAAGTGTGTCACCCTCATTTAAACATAACATTCTGTAAGTGAACAAAACAAAAATATTCTATACTTATGTGAACACCTACACCACAGTACTATTAATATATTCCCACATCTATGAAATTTTGTAAGCCAGCCACTTCATGCCTTTATCCCTCCCAATTTTGGGTATCTAATTTCTATACGGCCCACTTACATTAAATCATATTCTTTGATATGAAGAATTTTTTTTTCCACTTGGAACCTTGTGAAGTCCACATCCATAAGCAAAGTCAAATCAAGACGGGCCATTCATAAAATCAGCAGCAATATGCACCTATTCACAGGCTCAAAAATATTCTCTTCATTTGGCTGGGTTCTGGTCAACTCAGTGTGGGCTGCCTCACTTAGCCTCATCAGGGTGCCCATTGTTCACCTCATCTATAGAGTGAGCACTGTCACAAATTCTCAACTCTAATCCCCTGGTGCCAGATCATGAACTTCAGACCAGTCAACCTGCTCTCGTCTTCTCTTCTAGTCCTTGTAAACCTGGTCCACAGATCTCAGTGGCCAGACTCATCCTGTTTCTTTATTGCTGCATTTCCCCCACTTCCACTCAACAAGTGGATCCAGGTGGTCACCTAGCAAGCATTTCAGCCTGCCTCAGATTCCCTTTAATGGTGAGTCCTAGAAAGGAGTTTTCTTCATGGTTCCAGATTTTTTCCAGCTTCCGACAGAAACCACTAGTTCAAAATTCAAAAATCCAAAGAGTTCCTTTTTCCTTCAATCTGCAACAGCCCCCCCACCCCAAGTCTCTTCACCTTTGAATGTCCTTAGCACTCAAGACACTGAGTGAGGCTTATCTTTTCAGTGCCTTCTTTGCAGACGTGCCCTAAACCTATTTAAAGATTCAAATTTTAATGGTTGAAGGCAAAGCTTACAAACTTTATTTTAATCCTTCCCAATAATCATTTCTATCAATCATTATATCAACAATAATAAGCAGAAGAAATCAGTATAAACAAAGTAGAATCAGTTCCTAAACTGTTCTTAAAACAGTCAAGTTCAATCCTTATCTAACTACCTAGACCAGCCCATCTGTTTGTCAAATTCATGCCAGAAGGCTGCCCTTCTCTGAGAAGTCTTCCCATTAAAAACAAAGCAAAATAAACTCACTGTTATCAAGTCGATGCTGACTCATAGTGACCCTAAAGGCCAGGCTTGAACTGTCCCTCGGAGACTGTACCTGTTTAATGGGAACAGAAAGCCCATTTTTCTCCCATTGAGTGGCTAGCAGTTTTGAACTGCTAACTTTACAGTTAGCAGCCCATTGTGTAACTATCACACCCCAGGGCTCCCCCCTAGCTCCTTAGGGCAGCACAAACTCCACCATTGGCACATGCCCAGCTCTTTGGACAGCATGCTCTCTATACTGAAATAGTGTGTGTATGTGTAAGGGGTATTGATGGCTCTGCCTCACGTGTGGACTGGAATTCTTTGGAAGGCCTTGCTTTTGTTTCATTTTGGGTCCCTAAGTCTAAGATTTTGAGAATAAGAACAGCTTGAACTTGGACCTCTCTCTTCCTTTTCTCTTTCTCTTTTCACTGTTCATGTCCAGGGGAACCAGTAAGATGAAGGCAAGCAGGTTAATGGGTACTTGCCTTCCTCAGTGACAGGGGGTGGGTGGAAGAGCTTGTGGTTAGTTCCCCCTCCCATGAAGGAGCCTGCCCTCCATGACCTCCCCCCCCACACACACACACACACACACTGCAATCGACAAGGCCCCAGGGCCGTTGGGAGAAGTCTAAGTGTTGAGTGTTGAGAACAGGTAATGGTTCTGTCGGCACATTCTGAAAGGAGCCAGAGAAGGATAAGAATTCTCCAGCCCAAGATGGGTGATTTGTGATTCATATGCCATTTACTATTGGAAACTAAACTAGAGTTTTACTATTACTTCCACATTCTTCTTTATTTACCGATGCCGGTCGCTTCCATGTTTACTGCAGTTCTGCCTACACCCTGCCATGGGAATAAGTGCTCCGGAATGTTTATCAACATGAAACATCCTCTGGTGGTCTTTTAGCAACGTTTCCATTTGTTTACTGCACTGTTTCCTTGTAGATAGGACAAAGGTAAACAGCTCTTGTCTGTCCAGAGGGCCACAGTCCTCTCATTACTGACCATGGCTTCCTGCCGTTTGTTTTCTTTCTTCAGTGGGATTGTTTTTCTGGATAACTGGGATAAAGGGACACTACCTGCAAAATGTCTCGCTTCGCTGTCTATATCCTACAGGTTAGGGCTATTTCAGACTGCCCGGGGGATGCAAATGATGAGCAAGATCAGCAGCTGTCCAGGTTAGAGGTTTGTGGGCACCCAGAAGCACCTTGGAAGAAAAAGCCTTCAAAGCCCTATGGAGCACAGCTCCACTTTGACAAGCTAGGCTTGCGGTGAATCTGAGTTAACTCAGTAGCCAATTTTGTTTTCACACTGTTACTTTTGTAAAGCTTCTCTTACTTTAAGTCATCTTTCTCTAGATGGAGGCAAGTATTTTTGAAGGCATACATCTACTTCAGAAATGGCCCCACCCTTGAATTGCTAGCGTTCCCCCCACTCGCTGTTGTTGGACTCTGACTCTTCCCTGGCCAGGGACCTGCTCTCCTGGGTCGTGGGGGCAGGGGTTTCTGCCCCTTTGTTGGGGGTGGGAGGTTACCTGCCTCCAGCACATCACTTCTGACTGTCCTTATTCTAATTGATTATGCTTTGAGTCAGGCACCCTTCACGTGGCCCAGGCTGCACACAGACATCTGTGGCCAAGAAGTCCCTACCCCTTCCTGCATGCAGTGATACCGAAACTAGGTTCTTCCCACTGACCCTGAGAGAGTGCTAAGCCTTAACCTCTGTGGTTCCCAGTGTGTTATGAGCACAGTCACACATTAAGGCCTGGGATACATCTCCAATGACCTGAGCTTCGAGAGATGAAGTCAATCCTAAGTGACAGGACAACTCAAGCCAACATCTGTGTGACTGTCATCGCACGTACATCCAGATTTGCCCTGCGACCGACGGAAATGACCAGCAGCTCCATCCTTTGTCAAAGTGGAAAGGATTTAAGTTTAAACACGGAACGTTTAGTAAAAGAGAACTTTCCTTAGGTGTTAAAATTTAGGAAAGAGGGTCATGGAATGCCACTCTCCAGGTGTCTTACATAAACGGGTTACATTCCTATCATATGAATGTGTTTAAATGTGGCCTTTCTGGGGGCTAAATTATGGCCTTTCAGAGCTTTGGTTCCATTGAGGTGACGAGAGATGAAGTCCAGTAAGAAGTTCTATGCGATATTGCAGCCGGCATAAGGTACCTCTATGTGCAGAGACAGCTGGCCCCGCCCCTGCCGCCGCCCACTTTCCAGGCATCCCAGGGTTAGGATTCTGCTCCATAATGTAAACCACCAGCCCTATTTATTAAAAATGGGAGGTAGAATGCACACTCCTACAAAGGAGTGTTAAATGAACAGTAAGCTCTCCAGTATCAGCTGGCCTGTGTTTTCCTTCCTTCTGGACACCAGGTGAAGTGTTACCACAAGAAGTACCGCTCGGCCACCCGCGATGTCATCTTCCGGTTGCAGTTTCACACCGGGGCGGTGCAGGGATACGGGCTCATGTTCGGGAAGGAAGAACTGGATAATGCCAATAACGGTGAGGGAGGGACCCCTGGAGGAGCTGCATGCTTGGCGGGTGGGAGGGGGGCTCCTGTGCTTGCTCATCTGTTTCTGCTCTATTCTTTCCACCTCTTCCTCAAGATCTATCAAAGAAAAACCATATAGAAAGACAATGAAACTGCCAGTATTTTCTGTGCCTCTGGGTCTGTTTAACAGGAGGCCTGGTGATGGAGCGGGTATACACTGGGCTTCAATCCGAAAGATCAGCAGGTGAAACCACCTGCTGCTTGGCGGGAGAAAGAGGGGGCCTTCTACTCTTGGACAGAGTTGCAGTCTGGGAAACTCACAGGGCCAGAGTGGGGTCCACTGCACTCGATGGGGATGAGTTTGCTTTTGAGTGTGGATACGTTGCATTCTGACTTGAGAACAGCATTGTTCTGACAGGAATAACAGGGCAGAATGAATCGATGGCGTCGATTTTCTGTTTTCGTTTCGCCCGGTGGGTCTGTGGGTTAGACATTGGATTAAGACAAGCAGTTAAAGCCCACCAGCCAGTCTGTGGGAGAAAAACGATACTGCCATGCTCCCATCAAGATGTACAGCCCGAAAAACTCTCCAGAGGTGTCAGAATCAATCTTATGCCTGGGGTTTGTTTTTTGGTTATCTCTAAATTTGCTGAAATGTGCTTTTCTCTCTTAGATGACCGTTTTCCTGACTATGGGAAAATTGAATTTGTCTTCTCAGCCAATCCTGAGAAGATCCAAGGTGGGTAGATTAATGCGAAATGCTGGATGACTTGCTGTCAAGAGAGGTGGAGGATGGTGGTGGGTGCATTCAGTGGTTGGAGGAGGCTCCCATCTTCGTGTGTCCTTGGACTCTTCGTTAAGGGGCTGGGGTCGGCCTTGAATATTGGACAAGGTGGTTTGGAAAAAAATAAGGTAAAAGAGGCCTAAGAAATGGCATGACTTAACCAAGTCACTCAGCAAAGTGGGTGCCAAGGTGTGTAGCACCTGGCGAGGTGTCCTGTGGATGGTCTCCATGCTCGGAGCCTTTGTCATTGGGATCTGTGCTGAGTGTTTACTTTTCATTTAACAAACAGTCAACGAGTTTGTTTATTTATTTTCAACAACTAGAGACAGTAGCCTGCAAATGTTTGTCCCCCAAACAAATACCTCTTTCTTATAAAAATACATTTTCAAAAAGAAAAAAGACCCTTCTTTATTGCCAAGATGAATGATTCAGTTCCATCCCTAGGGCTCATCTGCATAAAGGTCTTCATTCAGTTATTTAATAGCGATGGAACATATTTGCCCCTTTTAATATTCATTTATATAGAGATAGGCATGACTTGGATAGTAAAATCACCTTGGTGTTCTTAGAATGTTTTAAGTAAGGAACTGAGATCTCAAAGTACAGAAAACTTGGATGCAAATTGTGCCTGACCCCAACATCTGCTCAGGAACTGAGTTTTACCACTAGGCCCGCTTCCTGATCTAGAACATGATCTGGGGGTTCTGAGTTTTCATAAGTACCTGCCAGTAAGTCACTACCTCAGTCACTGCCAGGACACAGTAACCAAATGACAGATGCTCAACTCTCCTTTCCCCAGAGCAGTTGTACCTGTTGTGCCGTTTGTTGAAAATACACAGCCTCTCTAATTAGCCCAGTGATCTACATGCATAAGGGCTGGACAGGGAGCCAAGATGCCTCTCTGCTGCTGTTCATATCTGGCTAATTGCGCTGTTCGTATCTGGCTAATTGCTTTTATTGGGAAGCCAGATGGGTGGGGGTGCAGGTTTTCTGGAAGTAACACTGTTCGTCCGTGCCTCTGCAGACTCTGAGCATCTGCGCAATGACCACGGGGTGATTGTCGACTACAACACCGCGGACCCACTGATTCGCTGGGACTCCTACGAGAACCTCAGTGCAGATGGAGAAGGTG